AACACTGTGGACCACGACGAGGTTAATGACTGCCGTGGTGGTCACAGACCGGGTGTTCATCTTCACCAGCAGGAACAAAATGGAGATGATGCCCACCAGCCCTCCAGCAAGCACTGCACAGTAGAGCCTGGTTAAATGGGGTGTCAGTCCAGGGTTGCAGGACGAAGAATTGTGGGCAGCCATACTTCCGAAGTCGCCTGGAAGAGACAAAGCACCAGTGGAGCTGACAAACCGCCAGAGCTTTGTTCTTATCTCCCCAGCACTGGCAGTGTGACTTTGTCATTTATCTGTTTACATGACATAAACTTTGTGTGCCTTAAGAATGAAAACTATGTTGTACGCACGTCTGTATGCTCTAGACTTTAAACACAGTAATTCATTGATTCTTAACCTTCACTCGGTTAAAGATCTCATCGAAAGACATGTACATATGGACATAGTCAAGACAGTTCTCATAAAACTGGATCGCAGACCATTTGATGTGGAAACGTGGATATTAGTACTGCAGCTACCACTGGGAAAAAATCCTAAGGTGGATGGAAAGTTGAATGAGTCCATTAAGAACACAAAATACTTTTTTCTTTTAAGTAGGATGTCAGTTCTCCAAAGCCTTCAACTTATCAGCAAATGATCCAAGAATATTTATACTTCATTCATTTAGGATACTGATTAGTTTGGGGAAAAAAAAAATTGTCTAAGTCAAGACAGCAGAAAGCGAGCCGAGGGCATATCTGAATATCTGAATTTCTCATGCTAGTTAGAATCATCGCCTTGCAGTGAGGCCTTCCTTAAGTTCTTCTCAGCGTCTCTACTGAAAACACAGCATGTCTCTCCATTCCGCCATCCCCCAGCCTCAGATTCGTAAAGGAACCATCCTTTCCCTAAACAGCCTTGGCCCTTTCTAACTCACTACCGACGTTCTAATTTATTATTTACTAAATGAAAGACTTAGTCATCTTTTAATTAAGTCACTTTACTTTCTTATTTAAATTCCTTCAATGGTTTCCCATTTCTTTTCAGATAAAAATCAAAATCCTTACATGTCTAGAATGTTCTGGGTTATAGCAAAATCTGATACCTAGAGACCAGATTCAGGAAATAATCTAGAGATGAAATGGACAGGATTCAATGGGGAAATGAAGGGACAGGAAATGTCTCAGTTACTCCCAGATTCTGAATTAAACAATTGTGTGACTAGAAGTCTGTTTACCCACACTAGGGAGTCTGAGGGTCGCATTTAAGCAAGAAGAGTAACGAACTTACGCACTTAGAACCTGACCTTTTAACACATTTGCAGTTACTTTTATTCATTTCTTGATTGTCTCTCCATACCAAAATTACCCAGCAATGAAAATGAACCAACTGCTCATAACACACAATACCAAGGAATGGCAAAAGGATCGTACTAAATCACGATTCTCAGCAGGGCAATATCGCCCCCAAGGGGTCAAAAGTTTGTTCTTCAGGTGTGAAAAACCTTACTCCTCATGTATAAAACACAGCTATGCATATATTATGCAAACAGACATACAGCATATCTGTGGTGTTAAAATTTCATAAGAGGGGAGAGAGAATTAGGGGAAAAATCTCTAAAAGGCTCTTTAGGGGGACAATAATAATAATAAAAAAAGTTGAGAAACACTTTACTAAATAAAAGTACCAGCCAAAAAAAGACTACATGTTGTATGATTTCTAGGAAATCAAAACTAATGTGACAGAAAGAAAATCAGCGAGGCCCAGGGCCAAGGTAGCAGGGAAGAGGTTCACTTCCAAGGGACATGGGGAGACTTACGTGTGATGGAATGTTTTATATCGTGTTGGTTACAATTGTAGTTATCAAAGCTCAACAAATTGCTTAAAATTGGTGAATTTTCTTGCATATAACTTATGCCTCAATAGAACTAATTTAAAATGATGGTACATATGACTAACAATAATAATAACCTGACTGCAGACAACCTCTGCTTTTGTGGCATGGAGTAGAATTTCTGTGTGACCCACTTAAAAGGTTGCCTCGTGTTATATTTGTTCTATGTGATGTGTAATCTCTGTACTTACCTTTTATTTTTCCCTGTAGAAAAGTAGCTCCATCAAGTAGACGTGAAATTATATTGCGTTCATTTCTGAATCAGGGCTGACTGTCTCGCCATAAGTACTGCTCATAGTTTCCTTAGGCTGTTGACCTGGAAGGACTGGCTTCTGAAAGAAGAAAGTAAAATCGATCACGTCTTACCTGTCTCAAGTCCTCCTTCCTTCTTATAAACTGTCATGATCTCTCTCTGTCATCTGTAAGAAGCCTATGTGAAGTCTCATCTTGTGCCAGGTATGACGTGTGATGCTTATGATACGTATAGACTCATTTAACCCACACAGCAGGCCTCGTGTTGTGTATGTGTTACGATGCTGAATTTCAGATGAAGAAACTGAGCCCCACATAGGCTGAGTCATGACGAAGTTCTCCGAAGTCACACACGCCCCCTCCGCCAACATACCCCCTCCTTATTGTACATCATGGGGAAGCAAGTTGTATGTCTCTTAAGCTCAGATTTCTAAATCTTAGTGTAAGAAAGAGAGGAGGCTGTGGAGAAATTGGGTTCTGCGCATGGCTGTATGCCAGTATGTCTCGAAAGCTTCTCTTTCTTCTTTTTGGATTTCTTGCTTTGTTGTTTTCTTGATTTACAGTTGATCCTAAAAGTCAGTTAATTTGACATCCTTTCTAAGACCTTCTGGCCTGCCTCTGTGTACAGACTTTCCGCTTGCGTGTGACCTAGTTTTTACTCGTCTGTTGCTCTAGTATAAAACTTGAGACAGAAGTGAAGCAGATGAAGGATGTCAGTGAGGAGAAAGATTGGATCATTTGGCGAGACAATAGGGAAATGTGTAGTTGCTCCAGGACATCTACTGGGTGGGGACCCAGGGCTGCTCATCCGATTTCAGGAAGCTATGTTAGAGTCCGGGTCTTATTAACCCCATGTGGTGTTGTGTATTTTTCCCTGACTACGTGGATGATGGTTTTGTAGCAACCAAGCCTGGTTTCCAGACCGTCCAAGACATTCTCTAAGTGATGACGTTTTAACCCATTTCCCATTTAGGAAAAAAATGTGCTCACTGCCAATGTGAAGTTTACATCAACACACTCTGAAGCTGAAGCAAATCTGACTGGCTTTCAATGTGAACATACAATACAAAAACTGTTCTTGGAATTATTTCTAAACAGAATTTGTCTCTAATCCTAATGTAACAGAAATGTATGCATAAATCAGATTCATCAAATGAATCTTCGGCTAACAACTGTTCGAGAACGTTGTTAACATCGCGTGTGGGAATGCTACGTTTTCTAGGATTTGACATTTCCAGCGATCGAGAATGAGTATATTTTGTAAATGGAAATACCACCGCTAAAACCAGCATGCTACAAACAGAATGCTGTCATTTATTTCCAAAGATTATCGATATACTAGAGCGATGTGAAAATAACAATACACGCGAGCTATTTCGTGGCAGACTTTGGGGGTGAGGTGAGGACTGTGATCCGCGAGTCATCTCGGGGTAAACGCTGCAGCCACGATTGCCACCGGCGAGTATTCTCGGGGCAAACGGGAAACAGGTTAATAAACACCTTCTGCTTACGTCAGCTAAAGTGGGTTCCGTTGTCTGTAGGTAACAACCCTGATATACCTGCTGAATTCCGGTTTCTCCTGCAGGAGTCACCGGGGAATCGTGTGCTCCTCCAGGAAGCCTTTCCTGATCTCTGCTCTCAGTTGGGGTGGTACGTGCCGCTGTCTTTGGCCTCACGGGCCACACCGTGTGTGCCTCTGTGGTGGCATTTATCACACAGACCATAGTTCTCGGTCGCACTTCTGCCATCCAGACAAAAATAACCAGGGACCCTGTATGAATGACCCTGTATTCACAGAACCTAATGCAGTTGTTTAAATTAACACAAATATTGTTCTCAAAAACGAACATACATATAGCAGAGTGCTCAGCTATCAGAATACAGCTCGTCGCATTTTCAAAGAGTAAACATACTCTCATCAAAAGTAATCACCATCCTGACAGCTACCATTATGGTATAGGTCTGTCTGTCTGCTTTGATTTTATATAAATTCAGTCTCTTTTTTTTTTTTTGCGTGTGTCTAGCTTTGTTCACTCAGCACTTTGCTTTGAGTCATTCATGTGTATAGTTTTAGTTCGTTCCTTCTTATTGTGGTATATTATGTCATTATATGAATATATCACAATTTATTCATTCTATCCTTGATGGACAATAGTATTATTGTTTCCAGTTATAGTATTAGTTCAGTTATAAGTCTACTGTAAATAATGCTACTCTGAACATTTTTATAAATATCTTTTGTAAAACTAAGTATGCGTTTCTGTTGGGAATTTGCCTAAGTGCAGAACTGACAGATTGTAGGGTATGTGTATGTTTGGTTTTAGTAAAAACTGCAAACGGTTTTCAATATAAATTCCCACTAACAGTTGATGTTTCGGTTGCTCCACGACCTCAAGGACACTCAGAATTTTCTGCCTTTTCCATTTTTGCCGTTGTAAATATATTTGTATCCCATTACCATTTTACTCTGTGTTTCCCTATGAGTAATAAGACGAGCACATTCTCATATATTTATTGGACACTTGAATGTCCTGGTTTTGTGAAGTGCCTGTTGAAATCTTTTGCCATTTTTCTATTTGGTTGTCTGCCTTTTTCTTATTGATTTCTTATTATGGAGCCTAGATATTACTACTTTGTCAAATATATGTATTGCAGATATCTCTTTCCATTTTACTTTCCAGTACTTGATTAGTGTCTTTTGATAAACAGAACTTATCATTTTTAGTATTACCAAATTATCAAATTTTCCACCAGAGTCAGCAGTTTCATATTCTTTTAATGCATCTGTCTACCCAAGGGCAATAAAAAAGATAGTATGCTATTTTCTTTTGTTTAACTTTCTTTAAAACTTTATTTTTAGAATTCATTTTTAGAATCGTGTATAATCCATTTAGAATTGGCTTTTTAATATAATGTAAGATGGGAGGCCATGACTAATTTTCTACATATGGATAGCCAGTTGACCCAGAATCAATCGTTGGAAAGATCATCTTTACTCCCACTAAACAGTGGTGTCACCTTTGCCATAAATCAGGTGCCCTCGTATAAATCAATTTAGTTCCTTTTTAGGGCTCCAGTCTGTACCACTGGATTATTGATCTCTGTGTGTGCAAATACACACTAAGTCACTACTGCAGTATAATAAGTTTTCAATCAGATAATATAGCTTTTCCAGGTTTCTTTTCCAGATCATCTAACTGTATGTGACCCGCATTTCTATATAAATTTTACAAACTGCTTATAAAAACATCTGGGGTTTTTAATGTATTTACATTGAAATTACAGATTTTGATAGCTTTTCAATATTGTCTTCCAATCCCTGAACATAATTTTTTCCTCTGTTTTCTTAGATCCTCTTTAGTTTGTGTCAGTAATATTTTGTGGTTTTCTGTATAGAAGTTTTTTACATGCTTTTCTATTTTGATTGTGATGATCATTTGATTTTTCTTTCTTTTTTTTTCTTTTTGGTTACTGTAGTGAATTACAATCATTGATTTTTACACGTTTAAGAAAACAAATGCCACATTAAAAAGACACCGAACTCCTCGAGCAAAAGGACTAACAGACTAATTCACGCTAAAAGGGCAAAGATGGAAAAGTAACTTTAACTGTAACTGATACTCTGAGAAGAGGATGATGTGAAAAAATTCAATTATAGTTGTTATTGAATAAACGGTGTACCAAACCAACACAATTAGTGAGCTTGATGAGAACGTTCTGGATGATTCTTACAGGCGGAACGAAAAATAAGGCCGAGAGAGAGAAGATTTAAGAGAAACACCGATGGTAAATCTCGAAGTTCCAACATCATCTGGAGACAGCAGAATGGAATGGAATGGTCCAATAAATAATTGAAGAACATCCCCTACCCATTAAAAAGATTAAATATTTCTGTTGAAAGATCTCACTCAGTGCTGAGCTGAATGAATAGAAAAGACTCACATTGAGACACATCAAGATGGAATTTGAAATCACAAAGAACAAACTCATATATCCGCTTGGATATCTAATAAACATCTCAAATTTACTATATCCAGAGCTGAGCTCCTGTACTCCCCCTCCGCCCCCCGGCCCCTCAGACATAGCCACGCAGATGAGCTTTTCCTTGCAAAGCTCTTCTGTGTCAGGAAATTGTAACTCTGTTTTCCAGTTCCTTGAGTGAAAAACCTCAGCAACGTCCCTGATTCCTCTTTTTTCTACCCAAATTCACCTCCACTCCTTAAGAAACTCCTATCCTCTCTCATTCAGAATAATCCACGTATGATCCGTGAGCGAGATTTTTTTTTTTCTTTAAAGGACATTTCTGGGAAAAATTGGCGAAATATGAACGGAGTCTACAAATCAAGTAATATAATTGCATCAATGTTATTTTCCTAAGTTTGATCATTAGGTCCCGTAAGATGATGGCCCCTTCTTAGGAAATATATACTACTTTCAACCAAACGGGCATTCGAGCAGAAGAGAAGAAAGGCATTTGCTGATATGTGAACACACAGAGAGTTTACCTCCCTCAAATCCTCCCTAAATTAGTGTATATTCCAAAAATATAGTAGTGAATCAATGTATAAGTGAAACATAATTAAATCTAAAATGTTACTAACCACACAAAATTCTAACACCCAATGATTTCAACATGGTGGGAATGGGTTAAATGAAAGAGAGAATTTGTATGTTAAGATTGCTATCTTATTAGGAGGAAGTTAAAGATAGTCCTTAACTGAAGAGAAGCCAAAAAATATGATTTCAAACTCTTGATGAAAGTTGAAGAATAACTCACTTGGTGAATAGAACTTGGTGTGGCTTACAAATTATGAGAAGGAAAAATGGATTACTGCAAACCCAATAAATCCAAGCAAAGGAAGGAAGAAAAAGAAAATAGAACAAAACAAATAAGAAAACATGGTAAATAGACAAATTAAAAAAGAAACAGTAAGTCCGGACATATCTGAAATCATAAACTATTTATATTTTTTCCTCCACTTATAAAAAAGAGAAATTGTATATACTAAAAACCACTGAATATCCTGAAACCACCGAATTGTATACTTTAAAACGG